TATAAAGATATATATAAATAAAGAAGAGTAATAAATCTCTATATTAAGATTCGAAATATAATATTTCTTCCCGAATATCTATAATACTTACTTTTTAATTAATTAAATTATCGTATAAACTATAAATACTCTAAATAATTAATAGAAAGTTCGTTAAGATTATATTAGTCGATAATAGACTTTTTATAAAAAATAAAGCGAAGAAGAATTTCTTATATTCGATATAGGGAACTCATTTTTAATAAATTAAACTATTATTAATAATATAGATTATTTAATATAGATTATTTAATATAGATTATTTAATATAGATTCTTTCGAATAATATAGATAATTTATAATTTATATATATAATAAGGCTTCTATATAATAGAAATACCCAGCGTTTTCTTTATTAAGCTCGATTACTTACTTTAAATAAAAAGTAAAAAACTCGTTAATTCTCTTCGTCGAAGAGATATATAAAGGACTCTAATTATAATATTAGAATTAATATAAATATAATATTAATATAAATAAGACAAATAGAATTATAAGACTATCGAATTATATATATAAGAAGAAGATATAATATAATAGAAGATATCTTCTATTAAAGCCCTCTAGTTATAGAGCTAAAAGATATATTAAAAATACGCTTATAATAAAAAATCTTAAACTAGTTAATTTATCTTCTCGATTATTCTATAAATCTAAAATAAATTATTTATAATTAGATTCTTTTTTATTACGACGATATAATATCGAGTAATAATCTCTTAAAAATTATCTCGCTTCTAATAAATCTTATTTAATATAATTATAAATTCGTTAAGTTAATACTTAATTTAATATTATAATTATAGATTATTAATAATAATTTAAGATATATCTATTAAGTCTATTTTATTAAAGATATTATCTAATAGAATTAATACTTATTAAAACTTAATTTACTCTAGTAGAGTCTTAATTTAATTTATTCTTTCGATATTAAACTTCGCTATAAAAAAGAAGAAAGAAGAGTTTAAAGAGAAGTTTAAATACTTTAAAAGAATAGATATTAAGTATATTAAACTAATTAGAGAATAATAAAATCTCTTTAAGATATTTCGAAATTATTTAATATTAAAAATAATTTTTTTTACTATAAAGCTCGAGATAAGATTATTTCTTTACGAGGGTTTAATATACTTATCTCTTAATTATTTAAGATATTAAGAAGACTATAAATACTTTAAATAGTATCCTTTCAAATACACTTACTTCGTCTAGAGAATCTCTTATCTTATAGAGAAGTTATATATAAGAAAGCTTATAAATAATATTTTAATAATATTAACTATTTCTTTCGATTCGCTAATTATATAAATAATTCAATATCTTATTTATCTCTTAACTATTATTTATCGAATTTAATTTACTTTAAAATCGAATTATCTATCTAATAGACTTATTTAAAAATACGATAGCTTAACTTAATTTCTTACTAAAGCCCCTACTAGCGCGTTTCTTTAAATTCGTTTACTAATATAAATAAAATAAGTAAATTAATCTTAGTTATAGTATTAAGATTAATATAAATATAATATTAATATAGATATTTTAAATAAGATAACTAAGATATCGAATTATATAGAAAAAAGAAAGATATTAAATAGTAAATAAATATCTCTATTAAGATATACTAGACTCGAATAATAAGAGAGCTAAGTAATATATTAAGAATATAAAATACGCTCGTAATAAATTTGATAAGCGATCTTTAGTAAGCGATATTTAAGTATCTTATCTTTTAATAATTATAGAACTAAATCTTAAAGTTCTTAAAAATTTAAAAAGCGCGAATAACGCTTTATAAATTTAGAAAAAAATTTAAAATTTTAATAGAAAATAAAAAAGTTATTGCTATCGTAAATAACGTACATCTATTTTTTTAATAAGAGGTCTCGAAAGGGCTAGCGAGCTAACTTAGTCGATTTAATTAAAGAGCGTAATAATATTAGAAGTAACCTCTATAGAGATTCTACGACGTCTCTATAAGAGCTCTATAAGGCTCTATTTAGATTTAAATAGAGATATCTAACTATTAAGCGTAGATACTCTTAGAATTAGCTTTTTTAACTAAATTACTAATAATAGTATCTACGCTTTTTTTCGAGTCGATTATAGCTAGTAATTATCTCGAAGCGATACTAGCCATAGTCGAGAGTAATACGCCTAGTTTATAGAGAATCGAGGGTTCGAGAATACTTAATTCCCTTATTAAAAATTAGAAACTTAATTTTTTAGAGAGTCGGTCGGATAATAGTCGCGCCGAAGGCGAGTCTCGAAGTCGAATATTTTCGAATAGAACGCCTTATATAAATGAGATTTTCGAGTAGAATAGCTCTATTCAAATAAGATTTTTAAATAGAACGCTCTATTTTCGAATAGAACGCCTTAGGGCAAAAAGCCTAAGTAGACGCTCGGGAAAGAAACCTCGAGACCGGCTAAAAACAGATCTAAATTTAATTTATATGCGCTAAGACGGGGTTATAGACTCGATATATAGTCTTATTCTTATATTATATCGATATAAAGGCGAGGCTAAAGATCTTTCACTTAATAGCCTTATAGATAAAAACTCTAATAACAAATTTTAAGCCTCGCAAAATGAGCGGACATTTAGTAGTCTTCGAGAGAGTGAACTTCGAAGTATAGAGTTAATTATTCTTAAGATTATAGATCTTTCAGAGAGTAAGTTCTCGAAATATTACGATTTTTACTAACTCTTAATTCTACTATAGCGATTAATACTATATATTATATATCTAATAAAAATTTATTATAAATTTATTCTATTAATTTAAATTCTTTCGAAATATATATAAATTTAATTAATTTAATAGTTAATTTATTAATTACTTCGTCTATAAATTCTATTAACTTTATAATACTTTATAATAAAACTTAAATTAAATTCGCGAATAGATTAATTTATTAATTTTTTACTATAGACGCGTATTTAATCTTATATATTTTAATTTCCCTTTAATCTTAATTTTCGTTTTTATCTAAATACTCTCTTTAAATATTTACTTTAATACGTTAAACTTATATTCAATTTTATTTTCTTTACTCGATTCTCTAATATCCTTAACTAATATAATCTCTAAAACTTTTATTTTTCATTTCTTAATATATACTACTATCGTCTATCTTAAGACGAAAAAAGATTATTATTTAAATAACTTAATACTCGCTATAACTAATACTTATTAGATCTAATTATTAATAAATAAATTTTTTTTCTATATATAGAATTCTTCTTTTTTAGATATTATTAGAAATATATAATTAGTAATTAATCTTATAGTAATAACTATATATCGATATATTTATTAATATTAATTAATATATTTAATAACTATATAAATTAGCTAAATTATAATTTTAAAGAAAATTTATCTTAATATTATCGCGATAGCTTTATATAACTCTATAATTACTTATTAAATTTAGCTCTTAAATATTATTAAATAAAACTATAATTTTTATAATTTTTATAATTTTTACTTAATAAAGAAAATACTTAGAAAATATTAAATAATATTAATCTTATATTATATTAATATATAAAAAAAAAAAAAATTATAGATTAAATTTATAAAATTAAAATTTTCTAAGTTAAATTGAATTTTAGCTTTAGCTCTAAGTTAAATTTAAACTCTAATCATTTATTATATATTTTTAATCTACTTTTACTATTATAAAATTAATTTAATCTATATAATATATAAATATATATATATAAAGAGAGACGCGCTAAGATTTAATTAGAAAGATATATTAAGTATAAAGAAATAATTCGTAATAATTATCTATAAAAAATAGAGAAAGACTATATTTTTATAGTAAGAAGTATTAAAATATTAGAAAGAAATAAAGATAACGTATTAATTAGTAATATAAATCCTATAATATCTTCTATCATAATAAAGATTTTCGAATAATAAAATAGCTATAGATATCGGACGATTTTAATTTATTTAAATATGTATCGTTTAATATTTCTCTTATAGAGATCTAATTAACTATAATCGTCGTAGTAAATTCTTCTCTTATAACGTTATTATAGTAATAAAAAATAATAAACTAAGTTATAATAGTATTCTCCGCTTACTAAGTAATAATTTAATAAAAAACTATAGATAGTATATAATATGAAATCTTAAAGCGTTAAGTCGTATTCTTAATAATAATAATCTTATTATCGCTTAGTTTCTTTATAATATTCTCTATAGTATTCTCTATAATATTCTTTATATTTATCTATTATAATTTCTTTTTTTATTTCTTAATATAATAAAGATAATAAGCTAAATTATAGTAGTATTTTTTACTTATTAAATAATAATTTAATATAAAATTATAAAGAGTATATAATATAAAATCTTAGAGAGCTAAGTTATATTCTTAATAATAATAATTTTATTATCGCTTAATTTCTTTATAGTATTCTTTATAATTATTTATTATATTAAATTCTCTTATATTAATTAAATAAATTAATATAAGATTATAAAGAGTAAATCTATTATATTATTACTACTAATAACTATCTTTATAATATTCTTCGTAATATTCTTCATATTTATCTATTATAGATTCTTCTCTTATTAAATTAAGTGCGAGATTATCGAGAGTAAATATATTTATATTAATGAAATTAATAGAATTAATAGAATTAATAGAATTAATAGAATTAATAAAATAATAAAAGAATTATTATTCGATTTCGAACGCGTCTAATAAAACTATTATAACTATTATATTTAAATATCTATTTAATTTCTTAATAGTAGGCTAAACTTTATAATTTCTATAGCGTTAGAAAGCGTAAAGCGAGCTTTATAATTTAAGAAATTACAGCAAGTGGGATCAAGTAAGAGAGGTAGATTCTAGAATTCCATGACGTTCACACGCGAAAGCGTCCTCATCAGACCTTGCTCCCGGACGTGACCTCGCTCGGAATCTCCCTAGATATGCCCGTCCCACAGTAGCTGATCGTACGCGGCCGTGTTGTACGTCAAGAGCTCTACACCATCGGAAACTTGAGCGAGGAACTCCGTGATCTTACGATCTTTATCTGCTACGTCCCATATGACCGTGCTATTGTGGCTGATGATCTCCACAAGTAATCCTATATTGGCCTTTGCGTAACTGAGATGTAACGTTACGCGCTGCAGGGAGTCCACCACATTCTGCGTCCAGTTATGGATGCCACGGGCGAGCTCCACGTTCTGGCTGATCTCTACCAGATCCTCCGGCTCCGCTAATCCGAACAGTTGGACCGATGTCTTCTTGACCCAGCCCAACTGCGATGCCGCCTCCGATTTGATGAATAGGAAGCGTTCCTCATCCCCAAGGGAGCTTTGACGGATCGCTTCGGTCGTAGAGGCGAGGGTCACGTACTGCTGCAACACCTGGTGAGCCGCTTTTTCGGCCACCCGAATCGATTCGTTCAAGTAACGGAAGTGCTCTTCCAAACGGGTCTTCAGCTGAGACTCTTGGGTTGAAACGCCTACAACGCGAACCCGGAGCATCTGAAATGTCCCAAAGTACTCGACACGTCGGATGAAGCGCAGTGTGTCCGTGGTCTCCTGCTGCTGCCGAAGGGTGAGAGTCGAGATTTGGCCGAGATAGAGTATCAGACGGAGCAGGTCCTCGTCTATGTGTACAGTCTGCCGGAGGAAAAGCTGCAAAGGTTTCCGAGTGAGGGATCCTTCGGGAAGCCGAAACCTCAGTGCCTCACTCCGTCTTTGGCTGATCAGCGCAGGTGCTTGGTAGAGCGAGTCGCTCGCGGCAAGGGCTTGTGACAGATCAGTGTATGTCTGGCCAAGTGCGACGCTCAATCGTTCTCCTGATGAGTAGCGTGGAGCGGCACGAACGGGAGGCAAGCGCTGGTAGAGCTGCTGCGTCGCGCATAGTACCCAGATATATGCCGACGTGACTCCAGCCCCGGCCTGCAAAACCAGGTCCCAAAACTTCTGGATCGCAACCGACGGCGACTCGCAGCCTGTCATGTAGGCTAAAGTCACAGCAACGGCAATCAGACCGAAGATCGAGCTAGAGCAGGTGATCCAGGCCCAGGACCATATTTTCCCCGCGGGACGAGCGCGAGAGGCCTTGCGTGCCGGTTGTCTTGCTATTGTAGTCGTTGCCGAAGGTCGGCGGTCCTCCCGATCCTCTGAGATGTCCGAGTCGATTCCTGTGGCTCCAGTCTACGTAGGCTTGGGTCAGGAAAACTCTCGTCTCTGGAGTGCTGAGGTGACACTTACATTGCCAGAGATCCCTGGGCCGCTCGGGGAGCCAACACCGCCACGTTTCTTCCCAAGATCGCTCGAAGGAGGCATGTGGAGAGTATCTCGCTTGGCGGCTTGCTTCGGTAACGGTCTCGGTCGTAGAATGGAAGCGACGGAGGGGTCTGACATCTCGCCTTTGCCGGGGCCATGCGCAGTAGACGCAGAGTTCAGTCCGACTGAGCGTCTCCGTGTAGCGGTACGACCTCGTGACACTGAACGGTTGTGATCGGCACGAGATGTTGGATTATCTGCTTTCATGTCAGAAGGGCTCTAGAGCTTTCACAGGTCCGACGCCATATCGTCGCCCTTGATGCTCTTGGAGCGAGTACGCATAGTCGCCCCATTATCGTCACCCTTGATGCTCATGGAGCGGGTATGCATAGTCGCCCCGTCTAAGATCCTCTGTCGTGAAGTTGCTTTCCTCTCATCCTTTTTGAAACCTCGCGTGGAGACACTCGATGCTCTTGAATGGAGCTTTATTTCTGGAGGCGCGTAAGAGTCAGCAAGATGAAGATACGGAGTCTTTGAAGCCGCATTTCTACCTTCTTCGTCGTTGTTGGAATTCTGTGGCGAGGGAGACATCGTTCTTGCTCGTTGATGGTAATCGAGACCGCCAATTAGATATGATGATTTCAAGGGAGGAGAAAGGACGTGGGCCACCTAAAGAACATATATCTGAGTGAGCGGTCGACATGTTTGCTATGCTTTCTGATGTCTGGCGTTGGGATGCTGCAAGCGGCCATCTCAGCAAGATTCGTAGCTGTTTGCGGAATGATTGGGCAGTACGGTGTTCCACAACGGGCGACGCACATTTTTCGGCTTCTGCAATTCATGATTTCAGTAATCGCTATAACTATCACTGGCATGTACATAGCGCAACGATCGCAGGATTCTTCCTTCACCTTACTGTCGCCTTACAGCCCTCCAATCTCCCCTTAGCCGGTCGCGACTCCTCTACCACTAAACATGGATCCGGCGAACAGTATTAGAATGCTATAAAGGGAGTACGGGGTTATAGAGGATTTGCTCAGCTTCGCAACGGTGGCATGTGGGGCCGACATCGCTACACTGCTCTACGGACGAAGATAACGCTGTAGATATGCAAGCATTGTAATGGATATATCGACAAATCCAGGGCTGATATCTGCTAATATGTGCTGGGGCGCGGGCTACCCAGTAGACAGGTTTAGCAACGAATTTCAAAAGAATAATTCAAAGCGGGATCAGCCCTATCCGGCGGCCGCTAATCTAATTAGGTAATATCTTAGACTTAGCGTAGTCTAATTAAATCTATTATAATTTCCTACTAACTTTATCTAACCTTTTTATTTTATTATATTTATATATTATAAATACTTTTAATAAGAAGAATATTATTACTACGGCCTTTCTAATATTATTATTAAATTCTTAAATTATTATCGCTATTACGTTACGTTATAAATATATACTTTTAATAAAATATAATTAATTTAAATTTAATCTTAATAAATAGATATCGAAATAATTATAAAGAATTATACGTTTTATAAAAGGGGAAATATATATTTTAATTAATTACTTTAATCTAGAAAGTATAGAGTATTAAGAGCGAGTATAATCTAATTTAGAATTCGCTTTATATTTACTATTAAGTAAGCTTTTATAATTATAATTATTCTTTAAATTTATATAATTCTTTAGACGCTTAGAAAGCTATTTATCTATTATATTAAATAATATATTTAAGTATTTATAAAGATATTATAATTCTATTCTTTATTAATATCCCTCGCTTATTTATAATTAAATTCGTTAATATATTTAAACTATTAAGCGACTTAATAACTATTATAAACGAAGTATTATTTAAACTTTTATTAATAAATTTTTTTAAAGAATTATACGATTAAAATAGAGGGAGGAATTTTTTTACTTCGCTTATAAGAAGTTTTATAATATAATTTAAATAATAATTACTTATCTAGATAATCTTATTAATATTAACTTTAATTCTTTTAAAGAAAAGATAGTAGATATTATAATATTTTAGAAGTTTAATATACTTAATAGACTTAATAAAGTCTTTAAAAAAAAGTTTAGACGCTATTATATCTTTAGAAATAAGATTTATATCTATTAATATTATATTATATTTCTCTATATAAGCTTAATCTCTAAAAAAATAACGCTTTAATATATAAATAATAACTACTAGAATTATAGTAAAATATAATTTTAGATAAATATAAAAGCTATAAATATCGAATATCTTAAAATAATAAATAAAAATAGATCTTTAGTCTATAAGAGATCTCTATCGAGTGATAATATTACTAATAAACTATTATATTTACTTTTAAGAAAATAAAGACGTAACTCGATTTAGAATATAATCTTTTATTATTTATTAATATCTCGATATAATAAATTAATAATTTAATATCTAGATTATTTTAATAATTTTAATAAGTTCTCGCTAATAATTTATTATATATATAAATTATCTAAATTAACGCTAAATATTTTTATAAATCTTACTATCGCTATAAAGTACGCGATAAAAAAGTAAGATATAGTAATATTTAAAAAGATAAATATTTTTCTCTTAGAGGCGTAAGTAATTAATTCGATTACGCTTATAGATTTTTTTTTAAATTAAATTTATATTATAGCTAGATATTAAAAAGAGTATTTATAGAACTAAGCGCTTTCTATTTCTACGCTATCTACTTTCTAATATTTCTTTATAAAAGTTTAAGTTAGCTATTTTCTAATCGTTTAGAATATCTTTAAAAATATAAATATATTAAATTATATTCTTTTAAACGCCTTAAAGTTGACTAGAAGTTTAAAAGAGTATAGTAAACTTTTTATAAGTAAATTTATATGAATATTTAAATCTAATAGACGTATTTTTAATAGTAACGAAGAACTACGTAAGAATCTTATTACTTATTAATTAAAGTATTATCGTATTATAAAAAATAGATATTCTTATAACGTTTTTAAACGATAAGATATATATATTAAATAGTATTATAATACTACTTTTAATCGCGTGATTCATTTTTTCGAAGTAGATTATTTTAATAATTTCGATTCTTTCGATTTATATACTTTCGATAAGACTTTCTATATAATCTATATATTATAAATATATATAGTCTATAATCTTAAAAGAATATTTATATATTTTTTTATTATCGCTATTAGTATTAGAAGTATCGATTTATATATTTCTTTCTAATATCTCGCTATCGCCTTATACTTCGTATTTATCTTTAAATATATAATTTAAAATTATTTTAAGGCGCTCTATATTTATATCTCTTACGTTATAATCTTAAAAGCTTATTTTAAAATCTCTATTAATATATAATTAACTTTATATAATATCGCTAATATTTCTTAATTTCATTTAAATAATAATATTCTTATATTCTCTAACTAAAAAATATAAGATCTAATTTTCTTATATAATGAAATTTTAATTAATTATATCTTAGATCTTCTTATTTATATCTTAAATCTTATTATTAAAATAGATCTAATTATTATTAAATTAAATTACGCGTCTAATAATAATAAGTAATACTTATTATATAAGATTTATCTTACTATAAATTTTCTTAAATTCTCTTATAGAAAGCTAGTTCTTTATATCTATTTATTCTTTTAAATTATTTATTATAAATTAATTTATTAGCTATTTTAGAAAACGAGTTATAATTAATTCTAATTCGACTATTTCCTCGATAAATATAATTTCTCGAAATATTCTTTTTCTATACTATTTACTAACGATATTTCTCTTCTTCTTTCTTTATAAAAATAGTTTTTTAAAAAACTCGCTTACGCTACTTAGATCGTTAATTAATATATATATATAATTAAAAGAGTCGAGAGTAAAGCTTAATTATATATAATTAAAAGGGTTAAGAATAGAACTTAATCGTCTCGATTCTATTAATTATATTAATATTATAAATAAAGATATAAAATAATAAGATATAGAAAAACGAGGTGTGAAAGGAATATTATTAATATTACTCTCGTCGTTAATATTATTATTAATATTATTATCTTAAATAATAATCTTATTATTCTTATTATCGAATATATTAATAATAATATCTTTTTTCTTATTACTTATTCTCTTATTAAGATACTCGCGATCTTAATTATAATATTTTAAGTTTTAAAGCTTCTTTTCTTTAGCTACTTTATTAATATTCTTCTTCTTCTTAAAGATTTAAATTACTATATCTTAATTATTTATTATCTAAGTCTATATATTCTCCTATATCTTATAATTATAATTTACTTTTATATTTTATCTTAGCTAATTATATCTATAATTAAGATATTTCTTTATATAGCGTTTAATACTCGCGTAATCTCGCTTAATAATCTTTATAAATTTCTTTTATATCCTTTTTCAGAATCGTCTTATCGAGTCTATTTTATATCTCGCTTAGTATTTAAAAATAATATCTATAATAAAAATCTTATTATTCTCTATTAACCGCTTTTCTATTATAAGATATTAATTTAACTATTATCTATAATAATATTTTCTTAATATATATAATATAAAAGTTGAAATTAGAGTTTAAGAGTTCTCTATTAATTAACTACTATTAATTCGATTTTATAGATTCTTTATTATTTATCTTTATTTATCTATATATAATCTTATAATATTAGAATTATTTTATAAGAATAAATCGTTATTATCTTTCTCTTTAGCTAATAATATCTCTCTAGCTAATAATATATATTTCTTCTCTTTACTCTTTCTCTTATATATAATTTAAAAACTCTTTCTTTTCTTTTAAAAGGCTTTCGAATAATATTATTTCTTCTCTTTTCGCTTATAAGAGAAAGTAATTAAATATTACGAAATCGTAAAGTCTTTATTTTATTAGTAATATATTAGAGATTTCTTAAGATTAATTAAAAGTATAATAAATTATATTTTAGATAAATAGAAAAGAAAAGTAGCGCGATAATACTCTAATATAGCTTTAAGAGATCTATATATTATAAAGAATTATTAATTTACTAATAAGATAGAATTTTCTAATAGAGTAGAGACGACTTTAAATAATATAGAGTCGTTTTTTTTAGACTAAAACTTCTTTATAGATCTTATATTTAATATATAAATATTAGAAATCTCTTTTTACTTAGCTATTATTTATTAAAAGATAGAAGATATATATAATAAGAGCTTGATAGATTTACTAGCTAATTATTTAATTTTATATATTTAAATAAGTAATTACGCTAACGTCGTATAGAGTAACTTTATAATTAAATTACTATTTTATAATATAAAATAGTAATTTAATTTATAAGTAGTCGATAAGGCTAATAATTACTCTATATAATTAGTCTATTAAATTATTATTCTTTTCATTTTAAATTATTCTTTTAAATTACGTTACTAAATTTATCTAATAATAAAAAGCTAGCTAAGCATTATAGAAATATTAAGAATATCGCTATAATTAAATATATTTACGATACTATATTTAATTAATTCTTCGAATTCTCTTTATAACGATATCTAAGAAATAGATTATATCGTTAATTAA